AAAAAGAAATTAATGACCTTAATTTAGAGACATCAGAGAAGACTTGATCCAAAGAAGCCAAATTTAAACCAGACTGTCCTCCTTGACCTCTAAACTCTGAACCACTTGGCTTCTCCCTCACATGCTGTTGTCAGGGATCCTAAGATATCCTTTTGTGCTTGTAGCAGAAAAGAGTATTATTATTTAACAGTCCCTGATATGATTCAGTTATTCAGTCTATGTCCCGTTTCACTAAACCATTGCCTAGAAAGTTTGTAATTACAGTATCTTTGGGTTGTTGTTTTTCAATACATTTCTTTTAATTATAGCGTTAAACCCCAAATGTCATGTTTCCAGTTTGGACCTAAGCCAAGCTGAAGGAGACATCCATTCAAAGCAAACAGGTGATAAGGAGACTGTGCAGTGAACTTCGGGGACTCTGTCCAATTGCTAGACCTCAGGCTTTATGTCCTCAAATCTAGAGCCTTAGAACAAGGGACCTGCGGCTGGAGTGGTGGATAAAGAAATGCCACATTTCCTGCTGCATCTGCTCCTCCCCAGAACACTCAGGTTTACTTTAGTTGTTTCCAGGAGTAGAAATTATTTATAAGTTATTCATCACAATTTAAATAATGTAATAATTTTGTTTGATAAGTAAATTGTCAATTGCCTTTAAAAATTGGTCTTAATAATTACTAAATCTTAAGGATTTCAACTTCTTCTTCCATCTTGATAAAATAGGTATGAAGCCAGACTCTAATCAGACCAAAAGAATCTTGAAAGCTTTTGGGCATTTGCCTTTTTAATTGCTGCCTTTCTCTTTTTAGGCAACAGTAGAGGTAAAATGTTCCTTTTTTTATGGTAAGAATTTAGTTAATACCAAAACGTGTAATGAAGATTCCTTATAGAAACCTTCTATTAAATATGAAAATTTAAAAATTATTTTATTAAAAACCTATGCACTGTGTTTTTATACAGCAATACAACAGTTTAATATAAAATTTTAGAAATATCTTAAATCCACAAACATAAGGAAATGGTTAAGTAACTTTTGATATTTCATTTAATGGAGTAGCCACTTAGAATTGTTTACCAAGAGGTTTTAATAACTTCCAATAACAGGATACAGAACTGTGTGTATGTATATATTTATATATATATACATATATATATACATATATATACACTGAAAACACAACTTTCATTTTTTGTTTGATTGGTTTTGTATCTTTTTAAAATTAAACACATATATAAAAATCAAAGTCTACAAGGAAAATATCCAAATAGTGGTTATTTGATGGCCAATAGGCTTTTGACTGATTTTTAGTTTTTAATGTGGTTTATATTTTTAGTTGTCCAGGGAGAATAAATTATTATAATAATTTAAAATTCATGTGTGTTTGTATATATTTTAATACATTCAATGCTTGAGCTATTTAAAGCTCAGCTATCTTAAAAATTTGGAACATTGCTAAGGTCCTGGAAGTAATAAAAAAATTAATTCCTAGCAGCCAGAATTAATCTTACAAAACTCATATAATTATGCATATTGTACCCAGGATATCTGCTGGTCCATCTCTCAAATCCTGTTTATTCTTGCTTTGCACACAATTCTCAAGACAGCTACTTTATAAGAACACAACAAATAAGACACAAACATCAAAAAAAGAAGCCCTTGCAGGCAAGAACACTGACTTGGCTACACGTAACAGCCTGACAGTGAAAGAGGACATACAAAAGCCTGAGTGCAGACTTCAGACTCAGAAACACACCCCTGAAAGGCCTGTAGTCACTCTACTATGTCATAGTAAGACGTGCTCATGCTGATGGCCCACAGTTATCAAGAAAATACCTTGTTAAACTGATAAATGAGTAGATACATGTATATGTATAACTGAATCACTTTACACCTGAAACATCACAACATTGTTAATCAACTATATTCCAAGATAACAAGTTTTTAAAAGTTTTTTTAAATTAAAAAATATATATCTTTTTTGTTCAACTTGTTCTTTTTAAGATCATAAGAAAGACTAGTAAAAATTTTTGAAAGGTTTCATGGCACATAGCTACAAATGAGGGGAAAAAGACAGTGTGTGATTGTTAGGGTAAACATTAGACCTGTAGACTTCCTTATTTGTCTAATACCTCATCTTCTTACCATTCTTAAGAGGGAATGTTTTATTGTTACTTGGGTTTTCTAAATTGTATTTTATACTGTCTTTACCTCAGTTCTCATAAAACTTCAGAGAAACTGGAAAAGATCCCAGAATCAGGATGTCAGCAAATGCCAAAGTCTCCATCTAGCAAAGCCTTTGAATCCATGCATCAAAATAGGAGTAACATCAATAAGGACCTACTGTACAGCACAGGAAATGCTACTTGATATTCTGTAATAACCTATATAGGAAAAGAATCTGAAAAAGAATGGATATATGTGTATGTACAACTGAACCACTTTGCTGTAACCTGAAACTAACACAACGTTGTCAACCATATTTAAAAAAAAAAAAAAGTAACACCCCAGAGCTTAGCTATATGTCAGGTGGGTTAAATGGGAAGGCCTGTGTATAATGGCATTTAGCTTGATATCTGGCATATCAGACATTGGTTCTTAGCAAATGTTAGTCGAATTTGAATATGATTTTCCCACATGGGATGCAAATGACTGTGTGGGCTCTAGAGTCAGGTGTGGGTTCTGCAACCTTGAAGAAATCTTCCTAACCTCCTACCTGCCTACCTTTTTCACAGGGCAGGGGTGAGAATTAAGCATTTTGGATGCTCACGAAATGGTAGTTCCCTGCCCGCTGTAACTGGGGGCAGTTCGGGGGAAGGATAGGGGGGTTTCATACTTTTATTACTTTTTTGTCATGCAAAGTTGAGGAGAGCTTTCGAGGAGTCTCAAAGACAACTACAAAAACCCCTTTGTTCTTGTGTCATAAGCACTGCTTGTTACACTGTTCTTAATGCCCTTTTATCAGCCCACCTGGAGCCCAGCTGAGAGAAGCAGAGCAGGGTCCCCCAGGGAGGGAGGGTGGATGGTGGCAGGGAGGGTGTCAAGTCATTCAGCCTCCATAGCCTTAAGTAGTTTAAGCACCTGGCCTGGGGTCGCATACCAGTAATGTAACCTTCAGTGTTCTGGGCAGGCTCACATAGTGCTTCTCTACCTTCCTGGGTGGGGTGGCTTTGGGTGGTGCTGATGCTGTTTTGGTTTGATTACCTAGGCCCCCTGCAAAATCATATAGAGAAGGGATACTGTCAGCAAGTAGCAGAGTGAAAACAACAAGGTTGGCAAAAATATGCAGCTTTATCCCATTACTGTGAGTTTTGACAACATATTAACTGAAAACCTAGATTAAGGCCAACAGGTTTTGCTCTGCTTTGTTTTTCTTGAGAACTAAAAACAGTAATTTACTAGTCTACTTGCCTGGTTCTATATGTGCCCCAGTGAGCACCCCCGATTATGAAATCACTTTTGGCAGCAACACTTACAGCCAAGCAAGGGAGTCTGGTGGGTGCATAGATTAGAAGAAACCTTGTGGTTGCCTTTTCTCAAGAAGAATAACCTTTGCTTAGACCACAGGGATAAGCCAGCATCAGAAAAAAATCTGAGAGGAGAGGGAGCTGGCTGAAGGGTTTGTGGCCATGGATACAGGTAAAGAACCCTAGATCCTTTCTTCTTTTGCAGGGCACTTTTCATGTCTGTAATATGAAAATATAATAGAGTATGTACAGTATATATATGTGGGTGTCTTTCTCCTCTATGCATCTTTCTCCTATAAGATTGGAAGTGCCTCAGAGGGAGGCCCTGCTCTGTGTTACATGTTTCCTGTCCCCAAGGCCTGGCCTGGCACATGTAGTAACTATTCTTTGGATGAGTATAGTTTCCAGTCAAACCTCCGCTCCTGCCTAGTAGCTCCTTTTTTTGTGAGCCATTTCTCTGTGTGTTCTCTCATCTGAAGAACACATGTCACATGGACCTTGTGTTTATACCTCCCTGTGTCTCTGGACCCGGTTTGTTCATACAGCTATATTGAAGCTGATAGCTTCAGCCAAGCATGATGTCTGGAACTGTGATCAGTACTCCAGGGGTGGCTTCACCAGTCCAGGATATAAAATGACCATCATTTCCAGAGTCTGGATACTCTATTTCCATTAACTAATTATTATTTATTATTTCAGATTTAGAGTAATAATGTATACCCTGCTTTGACAGGGTTTTTGTGAGGACCAAGTGAAGTGATGTATATGAAATTACTTCAGAAACTATAATGCTTTGTATAGCCAAACAGTGATTATTATTGCTGGCCCAAATGTATCTTCCTGAGAAAACTTAAGTTTGAAGGAAGATGAAGACCAAGTGTTACAAAACGTGTGCAACTACCATTATACAGGAGAGGTCATTTCCCAAGTTAATTTTTCATGAAACACACACACACATCTCCTTGGTCCTCTCTCTGCCAGCTGTCTAACACAAGGCAATTAATATTTGGGTATTGCAAAAGCTATTGACCATTGAGTTTTGAGTCATGGCTTTTAGTCCTGCCTTGCCCCTGCCTCGCTGAGGTTATCATGGACAAGTCTTTGAAGTTCTCTGCCAAATGACAGTATCTATTTTATGAAGGTAAAATAAGACTTGAATATTAGAAACAAGAATATTGGTAGCCCTACAGACATATAAATATGATCACATCCACATATATTTTTCTTTCCAGATCCAATCCCTCCAATTACCTTGGCTTCCCCATATGACATGGCCTCTACCCTCCGCCCTATCCTGGGCACTCCCCTCTGCATATATTTTAGTATGTCTTGTAGCCTTCTTAAAGGAAGTTCCTAATGCTGAACTCATAATACTTTATTGTATCTTGCATTTGGACACTACAGTTACTACTAAGATTTAAGTATTATCAGTTTGTATTTTCTCACACTTGAACATATTATTTCCTGTCTCTTGATCCACAAGGTTTAAGCTAAGTTCTGAAGTTGAAAGTAACTTCTCGTTTTTCTTTGTCTTCCAGTGACAGACATCACACCTCCAGTGCAATCCCTGTTCCAAAGAGACAAAGCTCCATATTTGGGGGTGCAGATGTAGGCTTCTCTGGGGGGATCCCTTCACCAGACAAAGGATACCGGAAACGGGCCAGCTCAGAGAATGAGAGACTCCAGTACAAGACCCCTCCCCCCAGTTACAACTCTGCACTAGTCCAGCCTGTGACCCCTGTGCCCTCCACGGGGGAATCTGACAGAAAGACCGCGTCTCTGTCTTCCTCCTTGGACACCTCCTTGGACCTCTCCAAAGAAAACAAGAAAAAAGGGGTAGATCTGGGCAACAGCTTAAATGGAGGCCACGTGAGTGTGAACACTAGCCAGGAGCAGGGACAAGCCCTCTCGGGGCCTCCGGCCACAGTCAACGGCACCCTTCTGCCCAGCGAGCAGGCCAGCTCCTCCGGCGCCCCGCTCCCGGGGGGCTTCCACCCAGTCTCGGAAGCCGAGCTCTGCTGCACCGTGGAGCAAGCAGAAGAAATCATCGGAATGGAAGCCACAGGCTTCACCTCAGGCGATCAGCTGGAAGCATTTAACTGCATCCCCGTGGACAGTGCCGTGGCAGTGGAGTGTGATGAACAAGTTCTGGGAGAATTTGAAGAGTTCTCCCGAAGGATCTATGCACTGAACGAAAACGTATCCAGTTTCCGCAGGCCACGCAGGAGTTCTGATAAGTGAAGCGAGTGGACAGATGGTAGGACCTGGATGGAGTCACTGCTTGAAATGAGGATAAAGCTGCACTGGTTACCCTTTGTAGTAATTATGACACAAAATGAATATTAATGGAGGATATTCCTCAGAAAAATAGACTTTGTGAATCAAGGAGGGACTCAGGATCATTGTGTATCAATGGGCCAGACAAAGTTAGATTTTGCTTGCAAGATTTTGCTTTTCAGGCCTGACAGTTGTTTTAAGGCAAAAGTCACTCTCTAGCTTGAGTCACCTTATAGGCATTTGTCTGCTTTTTTATTTACACTTACATGTTATCCTCAGAGGGAAGATGATAATATATAAATAATATAATGAACTCGCCTTTAGATTCTCAATAGCATTTGCCCTCACCATAGTTTATGAAACTTTTGGGAAAATTGAATATTCAGTAAAAGGTCTCACCATTGACTGAAGGATCTTTGGCCATCCATCAGGTTGATGAGTAAGAAGCACAATGGTCTCCTATACAAAGGCCCATTGGCCTCTGCCCCCAGACTCCACAGTCAGCCCAGCTGTTATGCCATTGGCGCAGTAGATGCCTTGTGCATCCTGACCACAGAGGACATCACATTCGCTAGTTCTTTAATGCAGTTGCCGTGACCTCCCACCTCTTTCAGTCAGCCATACCCTTGATGCAGCCCTCAGATTATCTGAAAAACCTCACCTCTGGAGGATCCCTCTGGGGGCCAAAGTTTTTATGTGGGCAGATGCTGTTGTCAAAAACTGGCTGTGCTTTCTGGCAATGCTCTCACCGTATAGAAATCCCTATATGTAAATCCCATGTTAATTTATTAAATTTCAGTTAGAAAGGAGGCATTGTGTATGATGAAATATACGTAGGGAGTCAGGCTGTCCAGTGTGCAAACTGCAAGGCAGTTGATGTAGTTGGATTCAGAGACTAGATGAGGCATAGAATACTATTGGTATGTGTGCAATTGCATAAATATTAAATTATGTTTTTGAAGTCCATTTTCATTCCTGGAGCTCAGATTTCATTTGCTATTGTTGTATACTTTATATACCCAAGGACATCGCCTCAGGGTTGCAAGCTCTTTAAGGAGATTTTATGCTTATGTCTATGTATTATATAGAAGAATAAAAATTGAGTTTACTTCACTCAACCTGATTTTTTTCCCAACTTTGAAATTCCTCTTGAACCTACATCTCCATATGTTATATCATGACAGGACTACCCTGAGCAAAACCTGTGGCTGTATCTAAGCTAATGTTGACTTCATTTGAGTTTACATATTGTATATAGCAACACACCATCACAGGTGTACTCTGCAATAGCTCATTCGTCCTACATAACAATTTAACTCATAGGTTTCATAATCATTGTCATACTTCGTCCAAGCATTCCTGGGCTCAGTTTTAATATATAGCTACATTGTTAAATGGAATAGTTCATGTTGTTATTTTTTCATGTAAAGAACTCACAGAATCATTGCATGACAGACAGACCCAACTTGCAAGCAATTAAAAGCTTTAACTTGATCTGAAGAAATCCATCTTATTTCTCATAAATAGGTGGAACTACTCCAAACCTGGAGCAGAAGCCATCTGTAGAGTCATGGCTTCTTTGACAGTGTACTGTCATTCATTTTAGAGTCAGTAAGGGTGGAGCTAGACATGGTCTTAGATATACATCCGACTGGGCTGTGGGTCCTCCAGTGAAGCAACATCTACCTCCCAAGCCCAGAAGAAAGGCTTTGAAGGACTCTGTTAGTATTGAACAATGGAAGGTGAATCACATGTGATTTGTGGTTCTTCAGATATGGGAGAGACCTTTAAACTCCATGCCAAACTCAAAGACAAGGTACATTCGATTTAGGCCCTGCAGCCTGGCTCCTGGCACCACCAAGCAGAGTGACCACATATAGGAGCACCCATGTTTTACAGTGTTCATCTCAGGTTCCACAAAACCGAGTAGAGCCTGGAGCTCTGGGATTTTGTCAGTCAGTCTCCCATTTATGGACTCCCTGATTCTGGGGTTCACAGCTTTTCACCCCCACAGCATGGAACCCCACCACTGAATGTGATCAGGTAGCCCAGAACTGATGGATGGTTACCTGCACATTTTCCTGATCTACACTGTGTCCAATGATATTATGCCTCAAAACACCACTTGTAGGTTTGGGTTTGTTTAGATTTTGGGTTTTCATTGAGTTTTTTTTTTGATGTCTGCAGCTTTTGCCATACTTGGATATATATAAATCCTACAGCATTACATTCTCCAGGAATAAATCTCTGACATTTCCCAAAGCTGCAGAATTCATTTTGCCTCTGTTTAAAGTGGCCAAGGCCAAAATATGGGATGAAGTTATTATCTCCTACTAATCTTTGTAATTATTCTTGTAAACCACTAAAAAAACAAAATTGCTTTGAGAATATAAGTTGAAATGAAAACTCAGTCCTGTCGATTTCTGAACTGCTAAGGGCCCTTTCAGTTTTCATGTAGCCGAAACACTCTTAACAGCCAGCAAATGTTATCAGAGGAATATTTGCTCGTGTTTTCTCTCTCTACTTCCCCGTTACCCACTTTAAAAATTCCAGAGATTTTTCCCCCCCAGAATATTAGTTTTGGAAGATTGTATCCAACTATATTTTTTTAGCAGTTCTAATGGTGCCCATTTATCCTGACCTAACTGGTTATTTAAATAATTTTTTAAACCACCACCAATAATAAATGGCATGTGAAACTGATCTGTTGGTAATTGGAAGAAAAGTCAGCATCTGTATTTATAAAATAAAATTGATTAGTATTTATTTTGAGAGTAAAAGTGTATGTTATTTCCCTGTGATGTTTGAGTCCTGTCTTCTTCATTGTTTTGAATTTCATACTAAAGCGGAGTTAACTATGAAAACCTCATTCTTAAACAGTCTGCCAGCCATTCCACATTTACTGAACTAGCCCCCCTTCCACTTTGAAAGGGACTGGACTAAACAAATTTATATGAAAATTAATCAACCTTGACCCCTGCCACAGTCCCTAGTTGGGAGTGGGGGAAGGAAGGGTGGCATAGGTAAATTAACAATTAAGTACAATTCAGTGTGGTAAATTCTATGATGGAGAGATGTCTAGCCATGCTACAGAATTCAGAGGAAGTTACTCTGACTCAAGGATTAAGAAAGGGTCATCAAGTTAATACAGATGAAAGATGTATGAGACTTCACATTATAGATGGAGGGAACAGCATGGGCAAAGGCCCAGAGGCAGGGCAGGGCCGCATGCATATTTGCAAAACTGCAAGGAATTTTCTGTGCTTGGGCCCTGAATGGATGTGAGGAAAGGTAAGAGGAGAAATTGAATTGTAGGCCCATGGGGGAAGGACTTAGGATAAAAAGTGAAGAGATCTGGATGCATGCTATGGACGACTGACCAGTAACCTTTCCAGTCTTTAAAACAGAAGAGTAACTTGTTTAGATGTGAATTATAACTAGCAGCCAAGTTGAAGCTGGACTCAAGTGATACTCTTCTTAATCTTCTTCTATACCATTTAGTTTCGGGGGGGAAAAAAAAGCCTCTGTCCGAAAAAAAAGTTCATTCTTGTGTTCCTAATGGTTTCGGGGTAAGGAATGAATAATGAACTGGATTTTTACCATGTGGTACAAAGGGCAGCCAGCATCTATTCTTTAGAAGCTAGATTCTGAATGCCCCAACTCAGCCACTTTGACATTAAGACTCTGGTCAAGTCACTGAACTAAGGACTCCTCAGTTCTTAATCTGTAAAGAATTGAAGAGAACTCTGCCATTATGTTTGTATAGGACCTACACCATCAATGTTGGTTCCTTTTTGTCCTGTGGGAGGCCATCGCCTAGTGACAGAAAGGATACCTGAAACTTATCACCATTTCTTGTTCTAGCACTTGAGCCCAGCCACTTCTCTGAATCTGGCTCTTAATCTGTCATGTGGGGATGATACCTCACACCAGTCAGAATGGCTGTCATCAAAAAGTCTACAAACAATAAATGCTAGAGAGGGGGTGGAGAAAGGGAACCCTGCGACACTGTTGGTGGGGAGGTAAATTGGTATAGCCGCTATGGAGAACAGTATGGAGGTTCCTTAAAAAACTAAAAACAGAGTTATAATAATGATCCACCAATCCCACGCCTGGACATTTATCTGAGAAAACCATAATTTGAAGAGTCATGCACCCAGATGTTCATAGCAGCTCTATATACAATAGCCAAGACATACGGACACAACCTAAATGTCCATTGACAAGATGTGGTGTGTATATGAATATTACTCAGTCATGAAAAATGGCATTTGCAGCAACATGGATGGACCTAGAGATTATCATACTAAGTGAAGTAAGTTAGAAAAAGACAAGTATTATAGGATATCACTTATATGTAGAACCTAAAAAAATGACACAACTTATCTGTGTCAGAATCACAGATGGAGAAAGCACAGTTGCCAGGCTGTATAGGAGTGGGGAGGGATAAACTGGGAGATTGGGATTGATGTATACACACTACTTTGTGATCCCATGGACTGTAGCCCTCCAGGCTTCTCTGTCCATGGGATTTACCAGGCAAGAATACTGGAGTAGGTTACCATGTCCTTCTCCAGGGGATCTTCCTGACCAAGGGATCAAACCCATGTCTCCTGTCTTCTGCATTGCAGGCAGATTTTCTACCCACTGAGTCATCAGGGAAGCCCATATATAAAATAACTAATAAGGACCTATGGTATAGTACAGGGAACTCAATAACTCTGTAACGGCCCATCTGGGAAAATAAAGAATGGATGTGTGTATAACTGATTCACTTTGCTGTGCACCTGAAACTAATACAACATTGTAAATCAACTACACTCAATAAAAAAACTTTTTTAAAGTAGGGATGATACCCACCCCTGTAACCTCTCTAAACCTCTCCCCACCCCACAACCCGGTACTGGATAGAGTGTAAGAAGTGGTCAGTATTTTTATGAAACACTTGATCTTTACAAAGCACC